GCTTTGCTTTAATCAGGTTAAAACACCCGCTTAAGCTTGTCAGCCCGACAATTCACGGCTTTGCGCTTCTAAGGCTTTAGCAAGGCATGATTTTGGGTTATTGCTTACTTAATACCAACAGGAATAACAAAAAGTTTAGCCGAATAATATGGGACCACATCAAACGCTATTGACTGCATCATATTTATTCTCCCATACTAGAGTTATTTCAAAAAATTGTAATAAAGTGGATAGCAGGCTGCCGAAACAAATAAGGAAAATAAACGCGTAGGTACATCCATTGCCTATAAGATGTTTGAAAAATTTTGTCGGGTTTAGTAATTGTCCTCTCCTAGATACAGGTAAGAACGTTGAGACAAAAATAAATGGAATGTGTTAAGATAAATACACACGATCTGGAATGGGCCAACTAAAGCATAAACAAAGGCGACCGGAAGCTAACCGCATATATAAGAGAGCGCCTAACCCTTCACTAGTCAGTCTCATCAAGCCAAGTGAAAGCAAAGATGAAGGCATCCATCGTTCTCGCCCTTGCGGTCCTTGTCATTGCAGCTGCTGCTGCCCCTGCCGAGTAAATCCTCTTCACCTCTATTGTGTAAAATAGTTGAATGATAGAATCGCCTTTATCTAACCCTCTACTTTTTTTTCTTTTGTAGTAACGATAAGGTGAGTATGAACAAAATATTCAGCACATTCGATTGACAGCTACCATGCTACTCTGATTTTAAGTGCACACCTTACGGTACCTATTCGACCAATTCTGTTCCTTTTCTGTAGGGAGCCGAAGACCTGAAGAAGAAGCTGATAAAGCAAATAGGCGAGACACGTCGCTTCTTCAGAGAGGATCCTCTGGGTCAAAAGATAATTGATCACTTCCAAGAATTGGTCAGTATTTGCAAGGAAATCAGATTGCGAATAAGGAAAGGCCTTGGAGAATACCTGAAGAATCTTGAAAAGGACTAAATTTGTGTTTACTCCATGAGACACTTAAATAAATAAGCAATGAATTTCACAAAAACCATGGTCTGCTTCCAAACAAAATATGTGAGGTTGCTAATGTTGGTAGAACCAAACATAAATCTAAATCTGTGGCGCATCGGCTAAGGGCTATTGCACAAATTTCCCTTGAAACCTTATTTTTACTGAGT